TGGTGCCCAAGAATCGACTGTGACTTAGGTAGCACGTCGCGTCCAGATGTGAACAGAAGTGGTTCGGTTCCTCTTCGGTCCATAATTGGCAGTTACTAGAACACGGCACAGTTGAATGCTACTTTGCGGCGGGTCTCGTCGACGTCGCTTGGCATTTCGTCACGTGTGTTGAGCAACGATACCCGGCGTTCCGCTGTTGGATCACATACACTGGAGGGTAGTGTGTGGGGCGGACAGGCAGGAAGCACGGGATGGGGACATAGTAGAGGAGGGGAGCAACCTTATTTATGAAGCTGATGCTCGGGTACAGCTCAGAGCTTTCAGCTTCACCTAAGCATCAGTTATTCGATTTTTCAGCTTTACCTAAGCATCAGCTTAATAAATAGGAAAGTCCTTTGTTGATAACGGATTTCTCATTCGCTTAAAACTTTCGTATTTATGGAAAAATTCGTTCGCAGAACACGTATGGACCCGACCAAGCCAAGCTGTGTTTAGAAATTGCCCCGTAACAGTTGCACAAGGGGTTTTTGTCTGCACCCCTAGCACGTCAGCACAGATGAAGTTTTGTCTGTGCTACTACGATTTCCTTCATATAAGCACAGATAACGCAAAAAAAAACCCCCATCACTTTCAATTCGCACAATCTACTCAGTATTCGATATGCAGGCGGCGATGTGGATCAGTTTTGTTGATGCATTTTGTCCGAAAGTATCGTACATCCTGAAAATGGACGATGATGCAATGATCAATTACTTTGCTCTTGTACAAATGCTACAGGCACGAAGCAATCTCACTTCTCAGCTGGTATTTAAACCCAAAACATTGGCTTGCATGGTATCTTCGGACAATGCTGTTGCGCGTTGCGGCTCCAAATGGTACAGTTTCCTGCAGTTCATAGATTTGTGCGAGTGGCATTGTACAACTTGAAAATACTAACCCGGTGAGGATAACAGCATTTACGAAGAAAGGAATCAGTAAAAGAAAAGTCACTGTGTATTGTGAAAATCGCCGGATATTTACTCTGATTAATCTCAGTTCATAACGTGGAACTCCAGCTGTACAGGTTGGAAATCCGATTGTAGCGTCCAGGTTGATCTTGGGTGTCAAAGTGAGAAATATGTGTAAGACAGAGAGCAGGAGAAAATGGAAGAACGAATGCAGTAAGACATTTCAGTCCATTAAGTCATATACGTCTTAGCTAAATTTTCCAGCCGGTTTGAGCAATGCTGCATCGCCTAGTGGTCAGATTGCTGAAGACCCAAAGAGCTACCCAAAACCACTTGAATAACCGAATATATAAATGAATTATTAATTGGTCAGCACAAAACCTTGCGCAGCAAAATTTGAAATGTTTGCCTTTTGACAAATTAGGCACAATAGCTAATCGATATAACCGCTGATGATATGTAAGATATTGGTGTAATATTACTAGATGATTTCTTTGAAAATCCTATGGCGCAAAATGGCAAAATTTTACGCAATTATTGACAAGACTGCTCAATAACTCATCACTTTGTCAGGAAAAATGCAATGAAATTATTAACCCACATTTTCATATTCAGCTAAAGGTTGAAGAGAAAATATCAAGGAAAGAAAACAAAGATTTGGTTCTTTTATTTGGTTCTTGAAGTGGCTATGATCCATAATCGCGACATTCTCCAGTGGCGTAACTTGCTATCGACTTCGGCCTTGCACTTTCCACATCTGTAGCGTATTATGCACTCTAGCTGGCGAATTACCCCAGGCGGCAGTGGTTTTTCTTCCAACTAATCCTTTGGCATCGTTGTGGATGCCAAATAATCAGTCGTTTCGTCCATCTTTTGTCTTTCATTCTTGCCACATAACCGGCTCAGTTTCTTTTTCAAGCATAACATTTTCTGTATAACATCCTTCACACCGGAACTTTGTTGTATTTCATGCAATTTTTGGTAAAACAAAATAACCTATTATCTCAGTAAATGGTTTGATTTTGAAGATAATTACTTTGATTTAGCAATATTTTGCAAATAGATTGACAAATTTGAGAAAAAATAATATGTATTTCTTTATATTTCAGGGCAGTGATGAAAGACGAGTACCTAGAAGATTCATTTCCGCCATACTGTATTGGATGGTACTATCTGTTAACCAGTGACTTGATCAAGCCGATTCTCCGCGAGCTCCCTTACTGCACTTACTTTTGGGTAATCATTTTGAATTTGATTTTCAAGCTGCGCACCCCAACAGTCTTCAGCAATCATGCGATTTCTTTAATTGACTATTCTGAATGCATTATCACGAAAATACATCCAATGTACAGTGAAGCGAATTTTTTTTACAGAAATTTTTATGACTGACAAAACCTGTGCAGAGAATGAACATAAAGGCGGTAACTTCATAGAATTGGCGGCGAATTCATAAACGATTCAATGAACCAAAATATTCCTTTTCAGTTATTTACTCAACCTCTCTACCATACTACATAATATTTTTATAGATTTTTAATGTAACAAGCTCCTTCCATTCACGACTTGCCTTCGCCTGATTTTAGCCCACTGTTTTATTGTCCTGTCTACTGCCACACCAAAATTCACGCTATCACAAAGTTAAGTGATATATGGCCCCACGTGGGGAGTTCATTGCCGTGCAAAAATATAGGACAAAGATGCTGGATTTCCAGGTGTGAGATTTGTCTACGTTGAAGAGGTAGTGCGAGTATTTGTGTTGTTTGCGACGAAATTGAGATTTTGAGAAATTACTCTGTTATGGTCTTTTAGTTACAGCTCGGAGTTAAAACGCAGACAAATCGTTTCCTGAAAACCCATTCACTTCTTCGGGAGCTTCACATAAGGGCAATTGCTTTTTTCGCTTTTATTCAGTTCTCAGCTTTCCTGGTTGCTGAGTTGGAAGAGAGGGTGTATGGCCAGGAAATACTCTCGACATGGCACGATTCCGTCCGAGGCAGAGCCAAGCCGAATTTATTGGGTCGGTGTCCGACGAAGTCGAGATAACGGCGGTGCGCATGGAAATAGATGTGGAGATGGGTTTCCGTCGTGAAGTAGATGAGAATAAGTCGAGGCCCTGTAGGAGTCGATAGGAAGAAGCCAATCCCAAACGAGAGAAATGCCCCTCTTATATAGCTAAAAACGAGGCATGCAAAGACCGTTGTTCCCGCGAAACCGAAAAACTGAAATAACAGCTGTATTCCCAGACACCGAAAATGTTTATCCTATAAGCAAAGGTCTTCTTTATAAAAACCGGGAAAGGAAAGGTCAGTGAGAGCTTAAAGCGGAAAGATCCGCAAAACTGTAGTACAAATAAGTAATAAATAAAATGTTTTATTTCAAATGCAGTTGGGCTGCAAAATAACTGCATTTACAGCATCATCTCCCCCATATTCCAGGCAGTTTATCATACAGTACTAAAGTAGAAGGCAGTACGGGCCGTTAAGGCTCTGTAGGCAAAAAAGAAAAGGCTGATAAGCTGAGGGACAGGAACAACGGCCCCCACTCAGTGAAGGGTAAAGACCATCAAGGGCAGTACCTGCCCACAAGGTGACTATGAATAGCCCGTCCGTAGGAGCAAAATAAAAACAAACTTTGAAAATGAATTTGATACATCTCACCAGTGTTATATTTTGTCATCTTACATCAAATGGCTGCCCCCATCCAGCATCTTAATGGTCACCATGTTTTAATCTGCATTATTCTTAACATTAAACAAATTAAACAGATCGACGATGTGCATATCACAGGACATATTGCACAAAGAGCTCAGGCGCATTTCGAGAACTGGACCAATACAAGCATGATGACTAATCCTAAAAGCAGCGCAATGATCGATGGCCATGTGATATTCATGCTCACCAAATCGGTGAATGAAAGGAAACAAATATGGGCAAAGCTTCGACGAAAATATGGGCATGATGAGCAGGAAAGCGGGAAAACAACCATCCAGAAATTTCGGTGAAGCACTGAACCGAAATTTCGTATCTATCAAAGACCAGCCCGATTATTTGGTTCAGAAGCGAACAAATCACGAAACTGCGCGTGAATTCATACTTATGGAGAAGTGTCACCACGGGCTTTGACAAATCTAGAACTGCAAAATTATTGTCGTTGAAATACTCTATTGTAATAGATTTCGAAAAATTTGGAATTGCAAAATTATCATTGTTGAGATACTCTTTTTTTTTTAATTTATCCGAAATTAAGACGTTTTTTTTCTAAATGTTAATAATGAAATTATGAAAAAATTTTTCATATTTTACTTTTCATGACAGGACAAGGCAGGTGGAAGTAGCCGATGGAACAGCTTAATTTGCCAAAAGCAAGCAAAACTGTCAACGAGTTCAGATGTTTTTTTTTTTAAATGTTAGCAATGAAACTATAAAAACTTTTTTTTAACTTTTTTTCTAAAAAATAAGCAAAAATGTAAGTTTTCAGCGGCTATGACTGGTATCTGTAAGTATTAATTTGGTAACAAAAAAATCAACGGACTTTGGACTGTTTTGGTTTCCCGAGCGGAATACTGTAGGGATCAAAAATGCCAAATTGTGCCTAGAGGCAGCGATCACTATAAAAGTCCGTGAAATACCTACCAAGGAATTACTGAAAGGAAACGAGCAAATTGCCACCAGAGATGCTGCCAGACGACAAAATTCAGAAGTAGCAGAAGGCACTACTTGTGCAAAAACCACAGCTTGTTCTGCCAGTCTTCGAAAAAGGCAATGGGATTTCGAAGAAATCAGAGATTGTATTGCTTGAAAAGAGTGTTCAGGCAGTGCACACAGACAGCAGATAATAACTGAGACGAAGATCTCATTTATTTAAATATTTAAATAAAAATATGCAAAAGTTATGAAATTAGAATGCTGATTAATTAATATTTTAACTGCTGAAAACCTAAGATTATTTCGAAAAAAAAAACAACTAAAACAAAGGAAAAAGCTAACAAAGTATATAAGGGAAACAATAAAAGACAGAATCGTAAAATCTGAAGAGGAATTTTGTTTCGGTCCATTAAGTCATATACATTTCTTTTCAGCATCAATCGGATAAAAAAAAAAACAACAATTTCTGCTCAATGATTCTGAAAAAGCAGGCTGAACAGATTAGGCCTGCATTATCGGAAATATCATAGAGATTTCTTTCAAAAATTACTAGAACAATTTTGTAACATAAAAAATTGCACGCTAAACACGACGACGAAAAACAAAGTAATGAAGCTCATGAAAAAAACGGACTAAAACAAGCTCGAATAAAAATATGTGACCGTAGCCAAACTGGAAAAAAAGCCTGACTGTGGCTAGGCTAGCAATAAAACCTGTCCAGAGCCAAACAAAAAAAAAAAAAAATTCGGGTAAAGTTAACTGCTCTCATGGTCAAAAACACGTTCAAGAAGTTCAAAAAAAAACTTAAAAATTCATTATTCGTCAAAAAATTTCACGTTATAACGTAGAGAGTCTTGTTCGCAAGTTCAACTAAAGGAGAGGTTGACGATAAAAACGAAGAAGCCGGGGGTGGCTCCAGCGAAAGTAGCAGTTTCGGTTTAGACCATAGCGAGAACAGTGCTCGAATTTCATAAAGCAGCCGGCTGTAGGTAAGTGTCGTGTCGCCAGCTTGTAGCAAAATACGACGCTTATCAGCGCCATAATGTACCGTTATTGCCGGTGCTGCTGCGCAGGGCTTTTCTGATACCAAATATAACTGAAAATAATACTTCTACATTTATAACCCATATTGACCGATGTTCAAAAAAGCGAACATTATCAATGATCGGTCAACAAAATTAGTACACGTCCACTTATCGAAAC